GCCTTTCTCTATGTGGGGCATGGACGAAATGGGTAGAGGCTGCGTCATACGCCAGTGTCGCTCAATCCACTATTTGCAAGTTTCTGAAGAAAGAAATTATATGTCGGTATGGTCTACCCGAAAGGATTATCACCGATAACGCAACAAACTTGAACAACAAGATGATGAGTGCTGCCTGCGAACAGTTCAACATAAAACATCACAATTCCACTGCTTACAGACCGAAGATGAACGGAGCAGTAGAAGCAGCAAACAAAAATATTAAGAAGATAGTGGAGAAAACAACTGAAACTTACAAAGACTGGCATGAGAAGTTGCCTTTTGCTTTGTTCTCTTATCGAACCTCGGTACGAACTTCGACTGGGGCAACTCCATTTTCACTAGCCTATGGAATGGAAGCAGTGCTACCCATTGAAGTCGAGATTCCGTCTCTCAGGGTCTTGTCAGAAGTCAAACTGGATGATGCAGAGTGGGCACAATCCAGATATGATCAGCTTAATCTGATAGATGAAAAAAGACTGAAAGCCATTCATCATGGTCAAATCTATCAGAAACGAATGATCCGAGCACATGACAAAAAGGTGCGCCCGAGAATATTCCATGAAGGGGATCTAGTGCTAAAAAGAATTTGGCCAGTCCAGAAAGATTTCCGAGGAAAATGGACGCCAAATTGGGAAGGACCTTATGTCGTGAAGAAGGCTTTCTCCGGAGGAGCCCTTATCCTGGCTGAAATGGACGGACCTGAGCTGCCACATCCCATTAACTCGGACGCAGTCAAGAAATACTTCGCTTAGGATAAAAACCCGAGAGGGCGTCCTAAGTTGGAAAAAAAAAACAACAACAAAAAGATAAGAACGTTTAGGGTGAAAACCCGAAAGGGCGCCCTAAATTGAAAAAAGAAAAAGAGGAAAAAAGAAGAGAAAATAAGGTGGGTTCAAGATGAAAACTCGCAAAGGGCGTCTTGCAACCAAGGATGGGTCCAAGTTGAAAACCCGGAAAGGGCGATTTGGATATTAACGGTGGAAACATCCCGGCACATGAATCTTCTACGAACTCAACAAATCGGAGAAATGTTACACCCTCCCAAACGTTGTTGCATTTTCAAAGATCCTTTGGCAAAGGCTGCATTCAAAGTCACCAAACGGCTTTTCAGCTCAGAAGTGCCCACGTTATCGAGATCTAAGACATTCACTTACACATCATTGTGTATTCGTCTTCTAGAATGTTTGCCATGTATTATTCGTTCTTCTCCTCCCTTATGAATAAAGACCATCTTTCCTCCAATTCCTTTCGAGCATCTTGAATTAGATTTAAACCTAATGGTTTATTTATTTTTTTATGAAAGATAATCGTATATTACTGTACAAAGATTCATTGAAAAGTACAGGTACCCAGAAGCCGATCAAGGCTCATGCACATGCTTGAGATGGTTGAGGAGCATCTCAAAAAAAAAAAAACCCAGAATGTGCACATCAGATTCAGACATTTGAAGAATTCAAGATCAGAGATCGGAACTTCAAGCTTTCAAAATCAAGAGTCAACAACGACAAGCCACCGGAAATCAAGATTTCTCTCCAGAGCCCATAATAACAAATGTTGCCCATACATTTTTAGGAATACCTAAGAGCATGACATCCATACCATCGCATATATGCACATCTTTGCAGGTTTTACCCAGAGCCAATTTCAACTTCACAACGAAGGATATTGGACTCCAGACAACGCAAGTTCAACTTCACGACGAAGGGACCGCTGGTTGTCCACAAAAATCTCTCAATTTCAGAGCAAATTTCAACTTCAAACCGAAGGATATTGGACTCCAGACAACGCAAGTTCAACTTCACGACGAAGGGACCGCTGGTTGTCAACAAACATTTCTCAATTTCAGAGCCAATTTCAACTTCACAACGAAGGATATTGGACTCCAGACAACGCAAGTTCAACTTCACGACGAAGGGACCGCTGGTTGTCAACAAACGTTTCTCAATTTCAGAGCCAATTTCAACTTCACAACGAAGGATATTGGACTCCAGACAACGCAAGTTCAACTTCACGACGAAGGGACCGCTGGTTGTCAACAAACGTTTCTCAATTCAGAGCCAATTTCAACTTCACAACGAAGGATATTGGACTCCAGACAACGCAAGTTCAACTTCACGACGAAGGGACCGCTGGTTGTCAACAAACATTTCTCAATTTCAGAGCCAATTTCAACTTCACAACGAAGGATATTGGACTCAAGACAGTATAAGTTCAACTTTACGACGAAGGGGTCGTTGACTGTCAACCGACGATTTCCCAGTTCCAGAACCAATTTCAACTTCACAGCGGAGGATATTGGACTCGGAACAATATTTGGATTTCAATTTCATGGCGAAGGATATCCAATTCTCAGGCTCAACTTCCCGACGAAGGGGCCCTGTACGATTCCAATTTCACAAACAGATTGACCCAACTTCACGACGAATGAGTCATCTGTAACGCATCAACACCAAAGTCTTCAGGTCAAGTTTCACCTTCACGACGAAGTATCTTGAGCCAGAAGACAATTCAGAGGCCACCTACCAAAAGCTTTGAGCTCGTTTTCAACTTCACGACGAAGGATTTCGTACTTAGAATTTTCCAGTTTTGACTCAACCTCAGGACGAGGGAGTCATTTAGTGTTTTGAATTGACAAACAAATTTCAACATCGGATTTCAACTCTACGACAGAGGATATTCGATATGGACGAAATATGTGTCTTTTAATCTTTGCTCTATTTTCGTTACACGACAATGAGCAAAGAGGGGCAGCTGAAGACACTCAAATTCGTCCACCCATATTACGCTATATATATATATTATCATATTATAATACATATAATTGTTTGTTGATTTATTTGGGTACAGGTCCAATAAAAGACAATTTACAAGCCATTTGCAGCAACCCGGGCCCAGTGCAGCAGCCCAGTCTCGACCCAGTAGACCAACGACCCACACCAAATCAGCTAGGGTTTTGAAACCCTAGCTTTTCATCCCATTCCAGCGCCGCTTTGGTCGGTCAACGCTACAACTGTCCCCGAAGTCCCCACGCCTCCAACTTCCCGATTCCTCCGGCGCAAGGAAAGCATACGAAGCCAACCACCAACAACAAGCAAGGCAACGTGTTAGTTTAGGACTTCAACAACCAAACCGAGTTTTACTCGGATTAAAACTCTAAAGTAGGCTTGTATAAATACATGTAACTAAAACACTCAGAGGGGATCTTTTTTTTTTACACTGGACGAACACACGAGATCATCACAGCCCGCACATACAAATATTACGAGGGTTCATTAGTGAAATACAAGCAGAGTAACTTCAGAGATCGACATTTTGTAATCGTTTCGTAGCAAAATAAAGGGTAAAAGTTTCGTACCTTTCTTGTTTACTTTGTATGTATGTATTTCCTTCACTCTGGTTTGATTCTAAACAACAAAAAATGTTTTGGCCGAGGACCAAGGGGGTTGCTTTCGAAGCTATTTTGCTAGATCTACGCGACCCCGAGGCCCGTTTAAAAATACTAGTTGGATTTTTGTAACCTACGCAGGAAGACCTTTCGAAAAAACAAAAGCTTTTTCATTTTCGCCGCCGATGACCGCGGCCAGCGCCGTTCGCGGTGGCCGACGAGGCGGCATGCGGTGGTCGGATACTGGGTTCTTGAAGAACCACGGTGGCCTGTTCTTGAAACTCAAGAACAAGCCAGAGAAAAGGGAGAGAAGAAGAGAGGGGTTCGGTTTGGAGAAGGAAGGAAATGAAAACAAAGCCAAAACATTGGCTTAAATATGCGACCCGTGAAGCCAGTCGACCCGACCCACTGCTTAACAGATCCGCGTGTTTTCACGCGAAAATGGGGGAACTATGTTTTGGTCCCCATCGTTTCGGAAACTTCCATTTTGACCCCAATTTCACTATAAATCGGTCTTTAATTCTGATTTTCTTTCAATTTAGCCACCCAACTTGTTTTTTGATTCAATTTAATACTTATACCCTTTTATTTATTTCATATTATGTAATTATATATATATATATACGTATTTTCTATATATTTCATCTATATACCTATTATTAATACATATATATTATTTTTAATTAACTTTTTGGTCATTTCTTTATCTAGCTACTACGTCTTATAATTTTATATGTTATATATGTATTTTTATTATTATTTACCAACCTTACTCATTTTACCTTATAATTGTATTTCTATTAACATTTTATTTTATGTATTTATGTATGTATATATATATATATATATTCATTTTACCTATTATTGATATTTTTCCTTTCTAATACTTTAATATATATATATTTCTCGTTTCATTCATTAATTATTTATTCCATTTTTTTTTATTTCCCCCTTTTTACTTTTTATTTTTTTTCTTCCCCTTTATTTTATATTATTTTACTTTTTATATATTTGCCTCTGTTTTTATTTCTGTCATTTTTTGTTGTATTCGTTTTAATTATGCCATTTATTTTTTTATCTTTAATCTTTCTCTTGATTATGCGTTTCGTTTTCCTTATTTATCTTATTGTCTTCATTTTTATTTGTTCTCCTCACCGTTTCCCCTAATGTTATTTTCACGACTTTTTAAGGGTATTTCCGCAAACTATCAAAGGTAAGTAGTTTGGATCAAATCTTACCTTTTAATTTAAAATTACAACTTTCTTGATAAAGACAACTGGAAATTACGTAGTACCGAAAGGGCGGTTCAAGGGTGCTAATCCTTCCTTGACCGTAACCGACTCCCGAGCCCGACATATTTCTGGTAAGATGCAGATCAGGTAAGAAATAGGGTATTCGATCAACCCATTTATCTTTAAATAAATGATCGGTGGCGACTCTAACCCAATCATTAATCCAAGTCGAAGCCCAATTCCGGGCTCAACCGAAAGACGGTTGCGACAAATACTATACATTTCATTGGGAAATTTTATTTTTTTGTCATTACTTAATTTTTGCAATGTTTTCACTGCAGTGAGAGCTCGTCTTGTCCTGTGATAGGGAGATATTATAACATTAACCAAGGCTCATCAAATTCATCTAATAATGGGATATTTGATCACAATTTCATTTTGAATGGTGGGAGTGATGAGTTTTCTTTTAGTGGCAATGATGAGATAGGTGAGAAACATGAGGGTGGTTTGAGGGAGGAAGATTTTGAAATCCGGATCGATCTGACTGATGACTTATTGCATATGGTAGGTAGTTTGAACTGTTACACTCCCATTTTAGTTTTTATATTTTGTTGAATATATTTTTTTGGTTTTCCTATTTTCAGGTATTCTCATTCTTGGACCATTGTAATCTTTGTCACGCTTCTATGGTTTGTAGGCAGTGGCGATCAGTTAGTGCTCATGAGGAGTTTTGGAGGTGCCTGAATTTTGAAAACCGGAATATATCTCTTGAACAATGCGAGTCTCATATTTGCTTAATATCTTTGTGCAGTTCTTTTGGTTGAAAAAGTTCATTCCAAAAAGACTTAGAAATTAGCCTGAGAGATGAGAGTGCTAGTCTAAATTGCTTAGAATAACAATTAAGAGAATTATAATAGCATGCAGCTATATAGAAACTGTCCTTTTATCTTATGTCGAGATTACCTTTTATGGTTCTGGTCATGTCATTTTCTATTTTTCTTTTTGTTTATTATATTACTTTGTGTGAGACAATTCTGCATTATTAACAATAAAACTGGATTCCGGACTGTTGTAAGATTACAATTTGGTTCTGCAGTTGAGGACATGTGTCAACGATATCCGAATGCCACTGAAGTGAATCTTAGTGGCACTCGTAATATGCACCTGCTAGCTATGAGAGCTGTCTCTTCATTACGGTAATATTTACTCGTCATATCATCTATTCTTCTAATCTAATGAATATGTTGTGCTTGCCGTTGATCATGTAAATTTTCTGATTGGCAGAAATATCGAGGCTTTAACATTGGGAAGAGGCCAACTAGGGGATGCTTTTTTCCATGCATTGGTAGAATGTAGTATGTTACGGAGTTTGGATGTGAATGATGCTTTTCTCGGCAATGGTGTTCAAGAAATAGCTATTAACCATGATCGATTGTGTGATCTGAAAGTAACAAAATGCCGTGTGATGCGTCTATCTATCAGGTGAAACAAAGGCTTCATTTGAATGTTGACTTTATCTTGGTATCAATGTGGTTATTCTTAATGCTAAAGCCTGAATCTTTTGCAGGTGTCCACAGCTAAAAAGTTTGTCTTTGAAACGTAGTAATATGGCACAGGTGGCCCTGAATTGCCCTCTTATAAATCTGCTTGACATATGCTCATGCCACAAACTTATAGATGCAGCAATTCGTTCGGCAGTGATTTCTTGCCCCCAATTAGAATCTTTAGACATGTCGAATTGTTCTTGTGTTAGTGATGAGACATTGCGTGAGATAGCTCACAGTTGTGCAAATCTCCATGTTTTGAATTCTTCTTATTGTCCTAACATATCACTTGAGGTTAGTTTCTTGCAAATGGTTATTCTAGTTCTAATAAGGTACCTGTTTTGTTAAGGTGTATTTTGATGCGTTTGCTTCTTTTTTTTCTGAAGTCTGTAAGACTGCCAATGTTGATGGTTCTTAAACTTGACAGCTGCGAAGCTATCACATCAGCCTCAATGGCTGCAATAGCCCATAGTTATATGTTGGAGGTTTGAATTTTTTTTCTCTTGTATATATTGTTGTTACCTGGACTTTTTAGGTCTCGATTAAAATCTTCCAGCTGCACATATTTATTCTGTTACCTTTTGCAGGAGCTGGAGCTTGATAATTGCCACATGCTAACATCAGTGTCATTGGATCTTCCTCGTCTGCAGAAAATTCGATTGGTTCACTGTCGAAAGTATACTGTTATTCCATATTATTCCCCTTTCCTTTTCTTACCAAACCGAAATCGACTTCATTATCACGGTATCTTTTGTTGGATCTTTCTTTTCTCTTTGATTTTATTATGATTATAATTTTTGCCATGCAGATTTGCCGAGTTGAATTTACAATGTTTCATGTTATCATCTGTGACGGTGTCCAATTGCACTGCCCTTCAGCGTGTTAGCATCAGTTCAAATTCACTTCAAGTATTTTTTTTTATGATTTGGTCTCTGTTGTTACTGTCTTGGTTGTAAATAAGATTTTTGATGTTGTCCGATTGATTTTATTAAAATGCAGAAATTAGCGTTGCAGAAGCAGGAAAACTTGACAATGTTGGCGCTGCAATGTCAGTGTTTGCTAGAAGTTGACCTAACAGATTGTGCATCTTTGACAAATTCTATATGCAATGTATTTAGTAATGGTGGTGGTTGCCCTATGCTAAAACCATTAGTTCTGGATAACTGTGAGGTATGTGAATGGATTTTTTGTGTATACTGAACCAATTTTCAGTTATAAGATTAGCTTCATCTCAGCTGATTGATCACTTCAAATGGCGCCATAGTTTTATCTATTCAATTCTGCTCTGCATCTAGCATTACTTAAGGGTTTCAAATATTCTTTGATTGCTTTTGGTGCTATCAAATGAATGTAGCTCCTTGGTTCCTGCATTGTGTGCGTCATTTTATTGTGCTTTCTGACAATTTCTTGTTTTTATGTTGACCAGAGCTTGACAGTAGTGCAGTTATCCGGTACCTCTTTAGTCAACCTTTCTCTGGTTGGTTGTCGTGCTATTACTGCTCTGGATCTTGCATGTCCTTGTCTTGAGAAAATTTGCTTCGATGGTTGTGAGCATCTTGAGAGAGCATCATTTTGTCCTGTAAGTTTAGAGTGACTCTAGCCGATTTTCTCTGAGATGAATTTGCTTATATATTAATCGACTACTTGATACGTAGAAATGTAAACGCTGAAGCCTTTTTCCCCCTTTTAGGCTTCTCTTTGGTCACTTAACCTCGGAATATGCCCCAAATTGAACACACTCAAAATTGATGCTCCATGTATGGTGTCACTTGAGTTGAAAGGATGCGGCGTTTTGTCTGAAGCATCAATAAATTGTCCCCTATTGACATCACTTGATGCTTCCTTTTGCAGGTTTGTTGCAAGTGCTACCTTCCTTTTATGATACTTTGTTTTGGCCTATGGTTGATGCTTCCATTTAATTTTATATGCAGCCAACTCAAGGATGATTTCTTATCTGCAACCACTGCTTACTGCCCTCTGATTGAGTCATTAATATTGATGTCTTGCCCTTCTATTGGTTCCGACGGTTTTTTCTCTTTGCGATGGCTTCCGAATTTAACTACACTTGATTTGTCGTATACCTTTTTGACGAATTTGCAGCCAGTTTTTGAGTCTTGTTTGCGGCTGAAGGTGACTTTAAAAATCTTGATATATAAACATTGATTAATCATGCAAGGCATATGGGTTCTTTTGATGTTAATTTCATTGTACTCTATTGTATTAAGGTTACGTTGGTTTGTGCTCTTCGTAATCCAAGTTTTCTCATTATGCTAAATTTTCTTGTTTATGCTTTCAGTGATATCGTGCTATGCACTTTGGCTCACTTTTTCTTTCTTGAAGGTGTTAAAATTACAAGCATGCAAATATCTAGCAGACACATCACTGGAGCCTCTTTACAAGGAAGGCGCTTTACAAGAATTCCGGGATTTGGACTTGTCATACAGTACCCTGTGCCAGTCTGCCATAGAAGAGCTTCTTGCTTATTGCTCACATCTTACCCATGTGAGCTTGAATGGATGTAAAAATATGCATGACCTTAATTGGGGTTCTACTGGTGTTGGATTTGAGTCACTATGTGTACACAATGGATCTAGTACGTTTTCTTTTGAGAATTTCTATGAACCCATCGAGCAGCGGAACCGTTTACTGCAGAACCTCAACTGTGTAGGTTGTCCAAATATTAGGAGAGTGCTCATCCCGGAAGCTGTACGATGCTTACATTTGTCAGCCCTAAATCTTTCTTTGTCCACCAATTTAAAGGAAGTTGACCTGGATTGTTACGAATTATCCTTTCTTAATCTAAGGTATTGGCACGTCTTTTCATGGTGGTTCGTTTTCATTTTATCTGGCATCCATCTAAACTTTAATGCCTATTTCTTAATTCAGCAACTGTTGCTCTTTGGAAGTTTTGAAGCTGGGATGTCCTAAGCTTACCAGTCTGTTCCTTCAGGTATGTATTCACGGTCTCTGAAACCTCTGATGTTTACTATTTAGGTCCTTTATTTTTGCCCCCTTGTTCTGTTGATCTATCCGTAGTGCATTCTCGAAGATGCTTGGTTTGAAGTTATGTTCCGCGTACTTTAATATTTATTCTAGGAACTAGCTGATGAGTTATATAATGTCATAAACATGGTTATATGCCGACATATCGCTGCAATTATTGTTTTCCCAAATATTCTTCAATTTCCTGTTTCTTTCATGTCAACTTGTTTTGTCACGAACAGATGTGTGCATGTGTGTATCTCCATACTTGTAGTTAATTTTCTACCATGAGTCCCTCATCTGATAGTGTTTTATTTGTTTATCGGTCTTTCCAAGTCTTGCAACATCGAGGAAGAAACAGTTGAAACTGCCATATCACAGTGTAGCATGCTGGAGACTTTGGATGTTCGCTTTTGTCCGAAGGTGAGCTTTCATCTCCCCCCCCCCCCCGTTTTGCTCCCATCTATGCTCGTCTTAATTCTTATAACATGCTTTGCTTTAATCATAGACTCGAACGCCTATATTTCTCGAATTCTGAAACTTTCTCATCTCGTGGTTGATAGATTTGCTCAATGAACATGGGGAGGCTACGTTCGATTTGTCCGAGCTTGAAGCGAATATTCAGTAGCTTTTCACCTGCATGATGAGATTGTTGTGAAAAAATTTTATTCCCCGCCGGAAGTTGATAATGCCTCTATTTTTGTACGGTAAATGGTAATCATACACACACACACACACATATGGGTACTTGGCCTACTTGCGTCCTTGTGCAACAGTGTAATAAATTACAACCAATATTTCTATATTCGAACATAAACACCTTTGAAAATAAATAAATAAATACTACTATGGTGTTGTTTGTTCAAACATACGTATCACATCTCTCTGTTTTTGGATTCAAATCATAGAATCGACTCCAATTGCTTAATTTCGGGGTCTAATTCCTGAGGCTGCTGCTGGGAGTCATCTTCATCAGGAGATCTAAAGGCATCAGCAATTTCCTTGCCTTGATTTAATATATCGGTTGGAACCGTTTGAAGCAGGCTGCCCATGGGAAAAAATGTTCACTTTGTCCTAAATGTGGATGTTCCAAGCATGACAATATGGGCAAAATTGCTCATGTGGGGCGGTGAAAAATGCTATTGGCTAATATAGGGTCTCTGTCAGATTTATTTTTTGATCCAGTGGGAATGCTACAGTAAATTTTAGGAGACGTCGGGAACACAATGCGTCTCTGGAAGATGCAGTGACCACAGTGCGTCATCTACTTTGTTCCCAAGGTATTCTTGACATTCCAACTACGTGGAAATGGAGAATAATAAGGAAGATACATTGTATTTTCAGCGTCTTCTCCGACACTGTTACGATCATAGCATCTTCATTTCCAACAAGACCCTATACAAGCCAATTATTTTTTTCCAACGTCCCATGCGAGTAATTTTGCCTGACATGTATACACAAGTATATGGAATACCTGTCGAGTGCATTGAGGGCAGTACCAATCTGTGCTTTCATTGCTTTAACAGAGGCATCTGGCTCGTTTCTTGAGGCATGTAGAAACAAGGAATCTAGTTCCTCCAATGCCCTAATCAACAATAACATGAACTGGTTAACATGCTTAACTGGCTAAGATAACAAGGCATTTGTTATAGTTTTCGGGTTTTTATAAATTGAACTAGGTCACTCAATTCTGACTTGAACCCAATTTGGTACAAATTCGAATGTAAAAATGACCCGAACTCAAAGTGATCAACATATGAAACAATATAAGGGTAGAGTACACAAATGACCCGAACTCAATTCTTGGAAGGAGACAAGAATCAAAACCCAAAATGATACCACCTAAAAGTTCAGCAACCTGATTCCAAAAACTCGAACCCCCGAATGACAAAATGTATTCTACTAAATTTGATTCGAAAATTTAAGGGTAGAGTACACAAATGGATCCGACATTGTTTTGTTAAGTCATTTAACTATTAAAAGTTACAAAATAGTCCTCCAATTATAGGACATTGTTTTGTTGAGTCCCTTGATTATTGAAAGTTATAAAATAGTCATATGACTATTCATGTGTTCCAAACTCGTCCTTTTTATTAAAAAATTGACAATCGTCTGAACTGAACGTTAACATATTGACTAGAATATGATAGTCGTTTGAGATTTTAGGATCGGATTTTATTATATCCCAATCAACGGGTTAACGTCTAGCTCAGATTACTGTCAATTTTTTTTAACAAAAAAGGACGAGTTTGAAATACCCTATAATCAGGGAACCATTTTGAAACTTTAAATAGTTGAGGGACTCAACAAAATAACCTCTATAATCTAAATTTAACACAATTGGCTTAGAACTTTAATACCTGAATTGAGTCGACTCAAACTAACATACTTACGATGGAGAGATGGATGGGACAATCTTAGTGCCATCCCTAGTCTAAATTGAACATAAATCTTCACAACTTTGATCAATAACTTTACATATTACCTTAGACATTGATCAACGTCTTTGAAAGCATTTTCACCATTCCCAGCATCAGACGCATACTGTGCCACCTGAAGTTCCAATGAAATTGTTCAAAACCTCATTAACTCAGAAGAATCACAAACAGGATGGAAATAGAGGGGATGGTGGGGGCGGTCGCCTCCTGAAAATTTGAAATTATCATATATTTTAGATTTTTATTATGTATTTTTTATTGAAATTTTATAAAAATTATCGTATATTTTAGATTTCTACTATGTATTTTCTATTGAAAATTTGTTTTCTCCCCCTAAAGTTTTATAATTTCATGTTCATCCCCTAATATAAAATGCTGCGTCCGTCCCTAATCACAAACGCAGATAGCTTAAACAACAGATATAGCTTCTGAAAAGCAAAAGCTTATCTTTTTCCTAAACTTTATTGTTCTTAGGTCCTAATTCATCTTGGAATGAGTTCTTGAATGTGCCAACAATTAATTCAACAAGGAAACGAGAAGATCAAACAACGATGGACAACACTTCGACTTACAGCTCGGATGTTTACACGCAGAGATGCAGCCGGACCGGAACGTAGTAGGGATCTGCAAGTTGCATATTCTGGTTTATCATCATCTTCCAAAGTTTTCTCTGCAATGGTTAGATGATTATAAATTACAAGTTCTCACCACATTCTTCATTTAATGAAACCATGACATGTACAAGTTTTCACCACATCATCAAAATCAAGCAAAAAAAAAAACCCCACCACATAAATGAAATTAGACTTATGTTCCTCATCTAATTAACATCCCTAACTGGAAACAAAACCATTCATCTAGCAAAATCATAAGCTAACACAAGATTATAAATGAACAAAGCATTCTATGAATGGTACGATTTCGGTTCATTTATCATGCTAAACAAGATGCATATGAACAATATGTTCCTAAACAAGTTCATCTATGGTTAAAGCTCATTCAAAACTAGTTAATGTTCGCTTTTCTTAATAAACAAACTACTATTTGCAATCATACTCGATTGACAATTATTTGTTCATGAGTATATTCATTTAGTGTTCGTAAACATATATTACTTAAATGAACAAACTGAACAAACACCGAAACGAGTTTTAAAGTCTTAAATCATACTTCCAACTTAAAATTAAACAACAAACATAAGAGTGTTACCTAGGTCTTTAATCTGTAATTGAGTCAATATAACAGCAGGCACATAAACCTCAAGCGGATCCAGCTTTTTCCTGGTAAAATGCACATCATTAAAACAAAGGTGGGTGAATAAATAAATAATACCCATAATACAAAGTAGAGATACAAGAGGGCATGAGTGATTAATAGTTACTTTTTCATGTATTTATCCAGAAAGCTTCCTGCAATGGCATCTGCAGTGGGGGGAAAAAGGTCCTTAAAATTTAGCTTTGAATTAAGTCTTTGAGAGACTAATGGGTTCATAAATGAAAAGAATAGAAACCGTACAGTTGGGTGCAAGGAGGATGTGAGAGAGAAACAGAGATATTGAAACCGACCGCCTGCTCTCCCGCCATTTCGCTGGCGACGCTGTGGACCTGACCGAGAATTGCTTTGGTTTGGCGGTGGTGGAGTTGGAGGAGGGAGTACAAGGTGCGGCGGAGGGGAGCGAAGGAAATGGTTTCCGCCAGTTAGGGCCGTTCCGACACAGCAACATCGGTGGTTTTTTCGCCAGAGAATAACACTGAGAGATAGAAAAACGGGTCTTATCCGTTAGTTGATGGTATGTCTTTTACGTTAGTCGATAAATTAGGCTTTCAGGTTCTTAAAAAGTAAAAGAGTTAATTCATTGGGTAAATTATGCATTTAGTATCTTAACTATCAATTTTGATCCGTTTTAATACTTAAATTTTTAATTTTTTACAAAATCATACCTAGAGTTTATTACCCGCATGTTAAAAAATTTAGTTTTTGTTTTATTTTAGTACCCTCGTTCAAAATTTAACGTTAAGTTTTGAAAAAAATTGAAGGTTTAGGTAATAAAACGGACCAAAACTAATAGTTTATGTACCAAACGTGTTAAATTTTTTAACGACAGATACTAAAATGAAATTAAAACTAAACATTAGGTATGATTTTGAAAAATTGAAAGTCTAGGTATTAAAACGGACTAAAACTAATAGTTTAGGTATGATTTCAAATTAGTCCTTAAACTTTTAAAATTTTTAATTTCACTTAAAATTATAACTCTCGTTTTAAATTGATCTAAGAAGTTGTACTTTCCAACTTTATCCCCTAACTATAACCCTCATTCTATATTAATCTCTAAGCTTTTAATTGTTTTAATTCTCTCTCTATTTTATTTGAATAGTCGAGGGCGATTTTAAAGTAGTATTTGTTTAGAAGTTTTGTTAGCCTATTGATAATGCACATACCATTCAGACGCAACTGCTCGAACTCGAGATCTCTAGAAAAAATAACACTCTTCTTTTATTATTGGGACCAAAACACCATTGACACAAAGTGGATTAGGACAAGTTCAGGCATCAAATGTTGGAATATAAACTTTCCTCTTAGATAACCCATTGACATGTCTATATTAAACTTGATCTTTTCGAATTTCTTTTGTTTTGAGTTGAATGATTAAAGGGAAAGTTATTCTTTTTAGATATCCTGAGTTCAAACAATTACGTTTATATTATACAGATACAGACAGCTTAATCCATTGACAAAATTTTTCACTTTTAAAAAAAGAAGGCAAAAGAGTATCTAATGCCCTAATACTTTTCGGGGGGGGGGGGGGGAACCCAATGTGTCCATTTTTTGCACTTAATATGATCATTTGACAAAGTTTTCCTTCTTTGACCAATAGTTCATTTATTTTGTGTTGATGTGACACGTTAAGTAATTCAACTTTCTTTTAATGCTATTATAAATTGGATAAATTATGTCATTAATCATTCAACTATTTACTTTATTTAATCACCATAACTTATTTTATTCTTATTTTATATATAAAATATTTATTTTAAAAAAATAAAAAATAAAAACCACCCTCATCCCCTACCTCTAGCCCCCTCCCTCTATAATTCCCCACCCTACACGGCCACCATTACCGCCGAACTATACACTTGCCGACGTGCCACTTATATTCAACTTTGTATATTCAAAGTAATTATGTTTTTCTTTGGTATTGTTTGATTTTAGTGATTGCAAATCTGGGTTTTTTTTTCTTGTTCTTGATTTCTTGATTTTTCAACCCTGTAGTGGTATTCAAATTAATTATGTTTTTCTTGGTATTATTTGATTTTAGACGAAGAATGTCGATGTGATCGTATCGCTTGACCATGTTCCTGATATGCTGAGGCATAAGCTCAGTCGATTGTTGTGTGATTCTAGGAAAATGGATGCTCATTTTTTGCAACTTCTTGCTAGTGGATTGCCAACAGAGATTCGAATCAATGACTGTTCGCAAGTGACCGAAGATGAATTCATCAAGATATTTGGCTGCTGTGATACCAACAACTTGACTTGTAAGTGAACTTTCACACATTTTGTTCCGTTTGGTTCTAGCAAGATATTTTGCAACTTGACTGTAGGGATCATGTGGTTTTAGCTGTGAAGATTGTTGTTGACCCTGTTATCCTGCATACGAGTCCTATAACCAAAAAAAATGCCAACAATTGCAATTGAAAGATCAGTATTTATTTATACCTGGCTGTCAGTCGTTTATGGTGTTTTCAGGCTCTGGATGCAGGTGTTGCAGCTTGACTTGTGCGGATCTTGTATGCCGGATTATGTTCTACAAGATACGTTAGCCCGTTCATCAAAAAGCCTTCCTGCTTTAGCTACCTTGTCTCTGAATGGTGCACATCTCATGACAGACGAAGGGCTAAATATGCTTGCATTGTCTGCCCCTGCTCTGCAGTCGATAAATCTGAGCCATTCTTCCCTTCTCACATCCGCCGGTATCAACAATCTAGCTAACTACTTGGAATCCACCTTAAGAGAGCTTTATTTAGATGAATGTCATAATATAGAAGCCATGGTAGTATTGCCTGCACTGAAGAAGCTTAAATGTCTGGAAGTTCTGTCAATGGCTGGAATTCCAGACTGTTTTTGATGATTTCGTCATCCAAATGGTTGAAGCATGTGGCAAAAATATGAAGGAGCTTGTTTTCACCAATTGCTTGCGAGTCATCTAAGATCATTCTAATAAATTCAGAAGTACATCTATCATCAGATTTGGTAACAGGTTGTGTTTTTGATGCAGGGAATTGACTGATGTATCTATCAAATATGTGGGGAAGAATTGTTCCAAATTATGCACAATTGACCTTTCTTACTTGTCGACGTTGACAGATAAATCACTGAGATATCTTGCCAATGGCTGTCGATCAATTAACAGGCTTAAACTGAGCCGCAACCGTTTCAGGTTTCCTTCTGTACCCTCGTCTGTTATTTCCTAACCTCTGTAGATAATGATACTTCCATTGTGACACTGATATATATCGTTCTCACATGTTTAATCATTCCATCCTTGTCAATCATGCTGCGGATTCTCGTATGCAATATCCACTTTCTTTGGACTTTGAGGGAAGCAGTACCTGTAATTGACGTATTTCGTTTTGTACAACAGCGATGAAGCTATTGCTGCCTTCTTGGAAGCTTCAGGAAGTGACCTAACTGAACTATCCCTGAACAACATTGCCTTGGTGAGATATCTAGTTATTGATATGCCTTACCACATTCACGTTGTATCTGTTGAACTGCTCTGGCTTCTCCTCGTATTGCGATATTGTGTTAATTGGTAAACAACTTACGTTGTCAAACAACTTGTAACAGGTGGGACCGAACACCGCGTTGGCGCTTTCCAAATGCTCGAGAAAATTATTCAGTTTGGACCTATCATGGTGCCGTAATTTGAACGACGAAGCACTAGGGCTGATTGTAGATATTTGCTCGTCACTGAAGCAGCTAAAACTCTTCGGTTGTACACAGGTAAATTTGCCAACCTCTCTGTCTCTAAACATCATCCATTCATCCTGTCACTGCAGGATTGCCATTTCAGGCCAATCTAGTCATGTGCAATTTCTAAATAGAATGATCATTTCTTCCTCCTGTTAAAACTGATCAAAACTGCAAGAAAGAGTGAATGCAAATTCAAATTGACGGGGAAATATCTCACAGTTTGATGATATTTGTGCTTCTGCAAATAAAGACATGTTTCTTATCCGGGATCTTTTCGTGTTCAATGCAGCTCACGGATGTGTTCCTAAAAGGGCATTCAAATCCCCAGGTTCAGATCATTGGACAGGAGCTGACAACCGTATCAAAATTTCTCGATGTGCTCAAACCCCAAGAACCTCCACTGCGGTATTCGCCTGTCGGTAGTTTACACTGATTAACAAAGTTACTCGGTTTGCTAGGCTCAACCTCATTCATTCAAAGCCTTCAAGAAACATACCTACAAACAATTACTAAACACCAGATTGAGCTAATCTCTTTAGTGCCACACACCACACTTATTTTGGTGTACTATCACATTCACAATCATTCAAAACATGTATAATGGTCAATGGAATATTTCGGTTAGTTTACATGACATGATCAAATTAAAGAGGTAGAATTCTTCTTCCATAGTTGAGAGTGTATTTCAGTTTATTCTATATGGGTTTCTTCTATTTTCTCAGCTGCAAACCTTATCCTTGATCCTTCGAGGACCAGAATCTATCTGCAAAGTTCCACTTTTATTATCTAACATTTTGATTCTAGTGATTCCTGCAGATGATTAAACAAGAACAAAAAGTGTAATGCTTTCTGGGTTTTAATCGAATAGTTTCATGGCAAAAGAATTTCTAGTGATCGAGGGATACAAAATAGAGAGTAAAAAGGTTTAAAGGACCTCCATTTAACTCTAAAAGGAAGAACAAGTTTAATTGTCGGCATTGGATTTGGAATTCTTTGCCCGTCTCTGGTTGAGTCGTCTCATCCATTTCTTCTGCGACGATGTTAAAGCGGTGAACAATGAAGGTGACGAAGCGCTTCTTGGAGGTTGTCCGGCCACCGGAAGCTCGGCCGGAAGTGCAGCGGCAGTGCTAGTAAATGCGTTTAGAACTATAAATGCAAGTATTGGAGATAGATCCAATGTTCCTCCTAATGGTGGAATTATCCCCCGGAATATGTTCAGGTACGGATCACATATAGCACTGAATCAAAAACATAAATAAACTTGTTACCTTATATATATTACTACGAAGATTTAAAGTATTTCAAAAGTCTGGTCTTAGTCCCTCCACTTGTTAAAAATTATAATTTAATCTATTTACTTTGTTCTTTTGGCAATCATGATTCAGTCTGTCTACCTTTTTGGTGATACCACCGTATTCAATCCATTGGCCGACTAATCACGAAGATATAAGTAGTCTTTAACGATGTTAACTATTTAAATTAACAAATGACATTATTAAAGTAGATAACAAATCATCAATAAATTCTAAATTTAAGCATATTAGAAGGATTAAAACCATAATTTTAACTGTTTCTTGAGATGTTATGGAATGAACTGGAGGTACCTGAGGGGACTAACAATGGCTGGAGGCGAGTTAGGGAACCAAGTCAAAACCAGCCTTACAATCAACAGCGTATTGTAAATGTTTAAGAAATTTAGGATTCCATTGGCAACCACGACCCCTGCCACTGAATCACCGGGCAAAACCGCCGCAAAATCGTGATTTGAAAGCGGGGAATAGCTCGTAATCTTCACGTAGTCGTTTCTGCAAGTTTTTACCTACCGGAATTTTTTTTTTTGAAATGGGCAGTCTTCACAAGTCAAAAACTAGAGTCGTGATTGAAACAAATTAGATAACAAGAACCATTTACCTCATTGCAGAAGCTCTGGAATTCGGATGATAAGGAGATAATGTTTTTGAAAACTGGGTTTTGGTTAAGGAAATTCCAGAACTTATCGGCGGTTGAAACGATCGAATGGTGAAGGTGACGGATTACATTTTCAGGGACAAAGGGAACAAGATTGGGCTTTGATGATGATGGCCTAGAAAATGGAGGCGCGAATGGTGTTTGAATAAATGCCGAAGAGAGTAGCAAGGATCTGGTAACAGGATTTAGGGATTTGGATTTTGGGGGTTGTTTGTTAAGCTCAGTAATGGCCATTTTACCGACCACTTTCCTTTGAATAGTAGAGAAAATCGAGAAGCTCTGCTTTCGAGTGAAGACGAGAGGAAGAAGAAGAAAGAAGATAGCGTTTCTCCATTTTTAAGTGGATTAGGATATTCTTCAAAGAGATATTTTTATTTCAACCTACGTGGCACGAATTTATATGCTCGATGTTTTTGCGTTATTTAAAGCCCGCGGCCCGTTGGAGATTGGCATGAGTAGGGTTTGGTAGAGTCGGATTTTTGATTAATCTGATTTAATTAAAAAATTATACATCTTTCATCTGATTTGAATCCAACTCAAAATTTATAGATTCTCTAGTCGATCCGAATTCAAACCGTCCTTTCATGATAAAAACTCATATTTGATTCGATTCGATTCGATCCAAATAATATATTTATAAAAAATTATTACTTTTATTCAATAAAAATATGGATTTAATTGAAAATAATAATATATATGAGTCTTATTACAATTATCCCTAAATATATAAATTAAAACAATTTTTTCGATTCGAAAAAAATATTTTTACCCTAAACCCGAATCCGACTCGATCTAAATTTTTTCAAAAATTTAGATCCGATAAAATCGAGTCAAATCAGAACCCGTTAAATTCAGGTCTCGTGCTCATCCCTAATAGGCCTGGTAAAAACTGGGAGAGTCTCAAAACTAAATTTTCTTTTTTAAATATATATTTATATTTTTATTAAAATTATGATAAAAATAATGTCATTGATTAATCAAATGTTAATTTAATTAAAATTTGTTAAAGTATACTTTTAATTGATGTTGTCGTTTATAAAGTGCAAATTCCATTAGAAAATTAATGAAATATTTATTCATTAAATTATGGTATAATGAATTATTAATTGAATGTTAATAATTAAAAAATATTAAAATATACTTGTATTTAATGCTGAGTAGGCGTGTACAACTAGGGATGGGCATGAGTTGGGATTGGGTCAAGTTTCGGCCAGTGCAAAGACTTCAATTTTTTCTAATATTTATTATTAAGGGCCCAATTTTTTTAATACTTACTATCTGGGGTCTAATTTTTCAATATTTTTTATTAGAAGCATACTTTAAAATTCTATTTCTTTCCTAATATTTATTAGTTATTATCTGTCCAAATTTTTTAATTCTTTTATAGAAGTATAATTTTTAATATTTGTTATTATGAGCATACTCTTAAAATTTAATTTTTTTAAATATTTGTTATTGAGGACCCATTTTTTCTAATACTTGTTATTATAGAGCTACCCTTATTTTTTTTTAACAAAACAACGATCGTTATGTAGTGGTAACATCGTCCGAAATCGCGATATCTACAACTGTTATGTCCACACAATAACATACATTATTAAAAATTCACAATCACGATACTTGCAGTGACCACAATATCATCAGTTACGTCGGCAATAGCAATAAACATAATGTGACCGAAGACATAAATGTAAATTGTAATTTAAATACCCCGACTAATCTTTTGATTCGCCGGGGGCACCAAAATCTCAGAGTCTGCCCTACGTGAGATTCGGCGGTTGAGAAAGGCCAAAACAAGCCAAGTTAGACATGCCAATTAGGTCAAGTTAGTAATAGTTGTTGGTAGGGCAAGACAGGTTGTCTTGCTTGTCAATTAAGGAACATTAAGCTTGCTAAGGCGAAACAAAGAACCTGCGTGCAACAACATCAATGGTTGAACACACGAAAAATTTGAACAAATTTTCAGGTTCCACGTAGTTGTCGGAAACCCTAATTCAGGCTACGTAAAACGTTCATGGTTCATGCATGTTCTTTGAACCCTGCTCTCCCCATTCACTGAATTTAGAAAAAAAAAACTCAACCATCGATAATGCCCTTCGATTTTAATTTGATAAAAAAAACCTTCAGGGAATATGTTACGAATGTCATCTTCAATTTAAATTACGATAACGATGGATACTTTTTTACGTTATCGTTTTAGGTGTCCGGGCTGTATACGCTGTTAATTTTCTCCGTTAAGTGGCACGTATCACATTCTGGTAATTTTAAAAGTTTCATTTAAAATTTAAAAAAATTATATTTAAAAACACACACACATTTTTTGAAATAGCTCCATAACTTTGAAAACCCTCACTTCAATCCCTAAACCACGACGACCGTCACCATTTTCCGTTGACGAAGCTCCACTCAACCTCACCTATGCCTTGCGGTCGATAACCCTATGAAATCGCGACCAGTCGACGTTTTGTACCATGCGTATCCTAGGCTGCAAATCGCACCCCATGCGATACCAATGATTAATTGGCGACAACTATGACGACGTATGACTAGGAAAATTGCATGGATTACGTCGACGGTGGTAGTCGTGATGGGCAAGAGAGTTGATGGTGGGTTAGGGTTAGGAATTTAAGATTTTTAGTGATTTTTTATTTTTTGTGATTTAAGAGAAATTAGGAGTTTTTATTATAAATATAATAATTTTTTAAAAAATAAAATTATTAGAATATGACACATGTCAATTAATGAATAAAATTATCAACATTTACGATCCGAATACCTAAAATGATAACATTTATAATCGTTAGTCTCTGAATCCTAAATAAAAATTCTACTTTGATCCTTTTACAAATTATAAATTACGACTCCTAAATGATTGATTGTGTGACTTCAAAAGTCTCCAAATGTGACGTGTAAAGATCTTTCCACCTTTTCTGTGATAAGCGGCAAAGGTAGGGAAGGAGGGTTGGTCACCATTAAATAGTATAATTATGATTTTAGTCCCTTCAATATTTAAAGTTGTAAGATTTATAATATTGTACTATAGCTGTCCTTAACTAAAAATTTTATTTTAATCCTTTTTCAAATTATGAATTAAAATAATAATAACAACATTATATTTTAGACTTTCGAAAATTAAATTATGACTCCTAAATGATTAATTGTGGGACTTCAAAAATCTCCAAATGTGACGTATAAATATAAGCCTTGTAGACTTCTACTTACCTACTCAATTTTCTTTTCTTTGAAAATAATATACGGATGGGCATGGACCCGAATCCGACGGTTCCGATTCGATCAGGTCAGATTTTTTTATAAAAAATTAGATTTAGGTCGGATCTGATCAGTTTTTTTAAAGTTGATGTTTGGGTCGGGTTGAATTAGGGTTTAGGGTGAAAAATATCCGACCCGACCCAAAAAATTATAATTTTACCTTATATATAGGAATAAATACAATAATACCCTCAATATATTATTTTTCAATTAAATCACTATTTTTATTGAATAAAAATAATATTTTTTATTATTTTGAGTCGGGTCGGATCAGGTTTAGATTTTATCTCAAAAAATCGATTCGGGTTCAGATCGGATGGAAGGTATATATTTTTTGGGTCGAGTCGGGTTGATCCAAACCCGACCAATTCCCATCCCTAAATGTACACAATTTATATTATATTTAAATGAAAATTTATTTGACACATAAGTTATATGAATTTTAATTTACATAAGTTTTAATTATTTTATAATTTGATGTAAATGCAAATTCAAATATCCGATATGATAAAAATATCGACGAAATATCCAACAAAATAATAAAGAAAAATGTTAACTATAACCGTTTTTGTCTCACTTCAATATTAAAATATCAATTTGTTGTTTTTTTCTTTTGTGATAAAAGCCGCCTCCATCATGGCTGCTGCTCCTGTTATGTTTTTAACGTAACGATTGTAATTTAACCCGAAATTGGCATATTCCGACTTGATTCAATTTAATAGGATTAATTAAAAAAAATAAGTTCAGGTCGGGTAGAATCGGATTATTAAAAGGAGTGAGATTAGGTGGGGTCAGGTTCGAATGGATGATGAAAAAATTCGACCCGACTCGAGGATAATAATATATATTTTTTAAATTTTATTATTTTTTACTTAATTCCTTATTTTATAGCGGATCGAGTCAAGTTTGATCAGATTTATACTCTAAAATTTAGGTCGAATTAGAGTCGGGTTTCGGGTAGAGGATATATATTTTTCGGGTCGAGTCAAATTCAGATTGAAGATACATATTTCTCGAGTCAGATTGCGTTGACCAAAAACTTGACTCAATATTGACCCGTTGTCATCCCTATTTTCACCTATGTATTCTTCTAATATGTAGTTAATATTTTGACATATTATTTATTTTACAATTTGAGTTTTATATGTGTTCTTTAATTTAACCAAAGATATTTGTATAAAATGTTTCTAAATGATGATTTTTACTTTAAATTAGTCTTTAAAATCTTAAATAATTTTATATTATTCTTTAAACTATCAATATCATTCTATTTTGATGTTTTCGTTAATGTTAACTCTTAGTTAAAAATTGATGTTTTTAAAGTCCTGAAAATTGAATCTATGATATTCTAAAAAAATTGTCAAGGTCTTTAAAAATAAATTAAAGGCAAAAGGGTAATTTTTATCCTGTTAGTAGACACAATTTATCACTTTCACCCTTATCGTATTTTCGTATCAATTTAGCCCTCGAATTTTCTCAACTGCATCATTTTATACCCTACTTAAAACCCTAAATTATAAACTCTAAACCCCAAACCATAACTTCATGACCTTTAAATCGTAAATCGTAAATCGTAAGCTCTAAACTCTAACTTAGGTTTTAAAATTTAGGGTTTAAGTTAGGAGTAGAGTATAGAATTATACAATTAAACAACTTTGAGGATTAGATTGATGCGAAAATATGATAGTCGACAATGATAAATTGGGTCTACTACATGGACAAATTTACCCTTATGCCTAAATTAATTTTAAGGTCACATGCTCATTTCCCAAGACCTTCAAAAACCAATAGATTTAACATTAACAGAAGGATCAAACCAAAAACCAATAATTTTTTAATTATTATTATTTTAATCAAACAATGGCAATCCATGAAAGAATTTTAATGAATCATGCCAAACATGTTTATTCATTTAATTATATATATTTATCTTATATTATCAAGATGAACCCTTGGAGTCTTGATTTGAAATCATTTTGATACTTGTCACAATGCCCATTCATCATATAGGAAATATTATTTAAAATATTTCATTT